CTGGACTCCAGAGACAAGTCTGCCTGGTCATGGTGGTATTCCCAAGGCAGGTGGCCAATCAGAATTTGTTGAATGACTGAACCCCAAAGAGTTTTCATGGATGGAGGGTTAAGTTCCACCATTTCCAGCTCCTGCCTTGACCCACAAACTCAGCCATCCAGGGGCGCTGCAGGTTTTTGGTTTAGCCCTAGTCTGCCCTGGAGCCATCCAGTGAGATCCATCTAGAGACCCTGGGGATCCAGATGAGCTGACAGGAGAAATTGCTCCTGGTGTCCACTTACATAAGAAAAATGAGGATCCACTTTTCTAGGGGTGAAATCAGGGCTGAGGCAGAAAAGGATGGCTCTTACACAATCTTCATCTCTCTCTCCCCTCTCATGTAGTCCCTTTGTATTTCTTTCTTTCATAAGAAGGGGGCTCTCTAGCTTTCCAACATGTTCAATAGCTACCAAATCCAAGAACTCTGAAGACAGACCACGAAGATTCACCCTTGGATTTAAAAAAAGTCACATCTCGTGAAAACACAGATATCACAATGAGAAATACCTAAGAGAAAACACTTAGAATTCGAAACAAAACAAAACAAAAAAGACAGGCAAAAAACCACTTCTTTGGTTTTGTCAAGAAACTTATTTGAGTATTTGAATATTAATAATAACCACATTTATCCCACACTTGTAAGGCAAAGCAAATAAACTATAGCAATTAAACAGAGAAAAGAATTAACACCCTAAAGTAGCTACTCCTTCCTAAGAGCTACCAAAATGCAAATAACTTATAGCCTGTTCTTTCTTGTGCCTTAGCTGTAACAGAGGAGAAAACTGGCTTGGAAAAGAACAACGAGAGAAAGACAAGGACTACGTTTTGAATGCACAGTTTGGGGGACGTCCACCATGACGGCCGTGTAAAAGAAATAAGCCATCCAGGGCTGACATGGGCTTTAATATAATGCCAGACTTCACCACTTATTATTCATTCGTTTGTTCATTCTTTCACTCTTTCTCTTATTAGGTGATCATTCATCCAACAGACATTTATTAAGCACTTTCCCGGGGGGTCTGTGATAGGCGTGGGGTGCACAGAAGTGAATAAGAGCAGGGGCATGGCTTTATCCACTGTAGAAACAGTGCTCAGGGACTAAGCCTGTGAAAACGTCTGAGATCTCAAAGTAATTAAGTGGCTCCCTCAGTGAAAAAAAAAAATCTATAAAACTGAAAAGTAATAAGTATTTGATTAAATGCCTATGAAACGTACCATATCAGTCATTTATATCTCAACTCATAAATATGACATATATATTTATAGTTGTTTACTTAAATATATATTTATATACTACGGATGGGCTGTCACATGTTTCAACACGTGAAATGACACAGGGTCGGGGTGGGGTTTCTAAAAATAAAAGCCCACGTAAGTCCTCAAAAGTCCCCACAGGATGGACAGGACATCTGTGCTCTCCCGGAGTTTATAGTGTAGTGGAGACAAAGGCACATGCCAGTAGCCACAATCACCTTGTGAAATATCTGAGAAAGTACCCCTCTGAGCCTCATTTTCTTCATGAAAAAATAACCTACTGAAAACCAGAAACCATGGCCTTTGGGGAAGTTCGGAGGTCCAAGTTAAAAAAAAAAAAAGATGGGAAAGTATTTCATAAGCTCAGAGTGATGAGAAGTAAACTTTTAACCCCTTTGGTCTTTGCCCCTCCTGGTAGTAAATGCCTCTTACCATGTCGGATGCTACACCTGCCGCCTACCTGGGAACTGGTGCTCAGACCAGAGACAAATCTCTACCATACCCTAAACATAAGGCTGCCCTGGTGCCCTTCTGCAGCCCACAGATGTCTCTGATGGACAGACACACGTAAACCAGGACGCTTCATGTAAAGATAAAACTTGGCCTGTATCGTGAGATTCCAAAGAGACAGAGGTTAAAAAAAAAAAGAAAAACAAAAAATCAAAAAACCGCCCCTCCCCTTACACTGGTAAAAATGAAACCATTTTTCAATTAGCTCAGCCCTAAGCAGACACCATCATCTATTTTGCCCTAAGAATGAAAAGCTGTGGACTGCTCCTAAAGTCAATTTTACTTCTCTCTTTCGTAGACATTTCATGAAATACCTTAATCTTCCCAGCAGGAAATATTAGTAGGTAAAAGAGGAAAATGAACTCAGTTTTGGAAAGAAAGGATCATGTGGTATAACACAGAAATATATCCTAGGAGGCAGTCTGGTTCTATTATTTGTCCTTTTTCCTGTTCTTCTTCATGGGCTCCCTTTTAGGCAGCCGGCTGGGATGGGGCTGCGGCAGGGTATGACCAGGTTAAAAGCAGCCCAGGACACAACATCATAAACGGAAGAGGGATAGCAGTTATAAGCTTCTGCAAATAGAACCTGGCCGCTTCAAATGTGTCCGACTAGACCCTCCTTCTGGCCTCAAGATTTCCTTTGTGTCTCACCACGGGATGTGTGTTAGGATGATATACAACGTGTTTAAATAAAACAAGAAAACAAACCAAGAAAAATTCTGCATGATGAAGAAGGAAAATCTACTAAAAATACTTTACAATGGCTTCAAACATGAAATCACATTTACAAATAACATTTTCATGACTTGGGCATAAGTGACTCAGGAGCATATGGATTAAATTTCCTTCAGAACGCACAGGGCTTTAAAAATCAAGCAGAAACTTGCTTGGCAAAATTAGTTTGTAGAGCAGAGCTCTGGGGAAAAAAAGAAAAGAAGTTTGTCAGACGGCACTCACTTTGGCATCCCTTCTCTGGTGCTTTCTTTGATGACCAAGTCAACTGGCTATGGTGGCCATTGCCTAGGCACAACTTTCTTGGAAATCGTTTAACTCTCTTTCCCTATTTAGGCAAAGTATTCAATAACTTTATAATAAATGACTCTCCTTCACCTCGACTATCTCAAGCATCAAAAATCGTGGTCTAAGGTCCACTTCTGTAAAAAATGTTGAGCCACCTTAGGCAGAGAGCAAATGGCTACCGCATCTTTGCGGCAATCAGGTATGACTGCATATATAGGGATGCTTTTATTTCCTATTAATCCATTTGAAACTAAATACTTTTTCCCCCAAAATTAAAGACACACATTTTAGACAGAGCCCACAACAATCAGGCTCTGTTTTACCTGCCCAAACTTTTTGGTTTCTTTCACCACACAAAGTTCACACACGAATACTACCACCACCAACATTGCTATAAAATAACCTTAGCATTCACAGGGTTTACTGTTTCCAAAATGCACCCTCAAACATCACCTCATTCCATTCTGGGGGATAGTCATGACAAGTATTTAACCCATTTTTAGATGAGGAAACTGAGGTTCGGAGAAAGGTCATATAGCAACAACTAGCCATTCTTCAAATACCAATTGTACTTTCCTGTCTTGGCATCTTTTATTGTTTATTTTGATAATTTTTAATAGTCATGTTCTCTAGAATACCTATTCCCTTTATCCCCACTGACTAGAATCTCCCATTCTTCAAGGACCAGAACATATACCACACCTTTCAAGATGTGATCCCTGAACACTGTATCTCCAAGCAGGATGATCTTTCTTATGTATCAATCGGGCTAGGCTACAGTTACCAATTATTCAGTCAAACACTAATTGGGGTGTTGCTCTGAAAGTATGTGGTAGATGTGATTGAGTATCTAATCAGTTGACTTCAAGGGAGATTATCCTAGTTAATCCAGGTAGCTGAAATTAATTAATTAGCTGAAATTAATTAATTAATTAATTAGCTGGAAAACCCCCTAAGAGCAAAGCTGAAGCTTCCTCAACAAAGAAGAAATTCCACTGATGAACTGCAACTTCAGCACATGTCCCAGAGTTCCAGCCAACCCTTCCCGGAGGCCTGCCCTACAGACTTCAGACTTGCTGGTTCAGCTCCCACAGTTGTGAGCTCCTCAATGAGTCAGGCACTGCTTGTTACTGGATCATGAGAAAACAGCAAGATTTTCATGAAGTTCATAGGGCACATTTGGGATATCCTGACTTAAAATATCTGTTCTGTGGCATCTATGGAATTCACTCTTGGGGATCTGGGGTCGCCTCACAAAGAGGTGGTCCATTTTCTACATCAGGTTCTCAAAGTGATTCCCAGACCAGCATCAGAGCGTCACCTGGGAGCCTGTTAACCAGTCAAGTTCTCACACCCCATCCCCAAACCCATTAAGTCAGGAACTCTGGGGGTGGGGCCCAGCTCTAAACACAGGAAACCATTCTGTTTAGTGTGTAAGAGAATCACCTGCAGAGCTCGTTGAACTAAAGACTGTTGGGTCTCACCCAGGACACATAGCTATTTACATGTAAATGAATTTTAAAAAACTAAAAAAGCAGTGCCTCAGTTGTACTAACTACCAAGCGCTTAGCACATGTGGCTAGTGGCTACCATGTCGGACACTGAAGATAAAGACCATGCCCATCACTGCAGAAAGTTCTATAGGACAGTGATGCTCTGGAGCCACTGAGAGGGACCCCTAGGAGAAACCCCTCCAACACACGTCAGGTACTACAGGCAGGGAAAATAATTTCCATTATTAGCCTTACACTGAAAAAGCACAAGGCCAGATGGTCCAAATCAAAGGCAAATGTTCCTTTGTGATTACGTTGCTTCTCACGTGGGCGATTCTCTGTAGCTTTAGGAAGAGTAGCATCAGGGACTTATTTATTTAACACTAGTTAAACTAAGGCTGGGGAACCCAGCAGCAGTAGTGCAGGCTACGTGAGTCATCAGAATCCTTTTTTTTTTTTTTTTGCGGTACGCGGGCCTCTCCCGTTGCGGAGCACAGGCTCCGGACGCGCAGGCTCAGCGGCCATGGCTCACGGGCCCAGCCGCTCCGCGGCACGTGGGATCTTCCCGGACCGGGGCACGAACATGTATCCCCTGCATTGGCAGGCAGACTCTTAACCACTGCGCCACCAGGGAAGCCCAGAATCCTTCTTTTTATTCTTTCACAGGGGTGGGGGTGGGGATTAAGAAGCTCAAAGCCTTTAGAAGCTCAGGGCCTCTGTTTTAACTCTGGTGGAACAAAGGACAAAAGTAGGGTCTATATTGCACCATCAACTGTTCACTTCCTGAAACAGCTCCTGGCAAGGCTATTGCTAACCTCCGTGTTGCTAAATCCACGGATCATTTCTCAAGTCCTCATCTGCCTGGGACCACTGGGGCATTTGGCACAGATGGACACTCTTTCCTCCTAGAAAAAGATTCTTGTCTTCTAGGACCACCTGCTCTCTCTTTCTCCGGTTTTCCACTCTGCTTCACTGGTTCCTTCTTCTCCCTCTCCTTTGCTGGTACCTCTTTTTCTCTCTGACCTCTCTATGCTGGAGACCCCAGTGCTCAGGCTTTGACCCTCTTCTCCATCTTTACTCACTTGGCGATTCCACCCACTTTCATTAATTTAAATACCATTTATATCATGCTGATGACTACCAGATTTTTATTTCCAGACCATACCTGTCATCTGCTCTCATACAGAACTACCTACTCCATCCCCACATGGAACTCTCATAAACTTGTCACTCTCTCCAGGTCCAAGACTGAACTCCATTTTTTTCCCTGCAAACCTGCTCTACCTGCATGTTCAGGTTAGTGGAAACTCCAACTTTCCAGTGCCCTCAGCCCCAAACTTTATTCCCCCTTCACTTCTCCTTCTCTCACAATCCCCACCATTCTGTCAAAGAATCCTTCTGCTCTACCTCTGAAATGTACCCAGAAGCTAACCGCCATGCACCTCCTCCACGGCTGCCGTCCGGGTGGGGGCTGTGGTCCTCCCTTGCCTGGGTTACTGCAACAGGCTCCTAACTGGTCCTCCTGCTGCTACCCTCTGCCTCTGTCTTCCCATGGCCTATCCCTCTGTGTCTATCTTCTCCTTTGCCCTCCCTCATCAGCACACCCATCACTGGGTTTAGGGCCTACCCTCATCAGGATGATCTCACCTTGCCAGTGTCATTTTCATTACATCTGCAAAGACTCTTACTCCAAATACAGTTGCATTCTAAGGCTCTGGGGGCACAGCTCTTTTGGGGGTCAGCATTCACCCCACTATGCTGCCCCACAGACTAGTCTCAATACAGTAGCCCCAGTGAGCCTTTAAGAAATTAAGTTAAATTATGATACTCTGTGCTCAAAACCCTCTAAAGGCTCCCATCTCACTTAGAGAAAAACCAAAGTCCTTCTGCCGGCCTAAAAGGCCCTGTGTGATCTGGCTCTTAAACCTCTCTGTCCTCACCTCCCACTGTCCAGTCATAACAGTGGCCCAGACTAGCGGATGTGGATTTGAGACATGTTTTGACTTAGCATCAAGATCACCTGGTTACTGACAACACCCAGGAGGTAACACCTGACGAGGAACAAGTTGGGGAGGTGGAAAAGGTAAGTACATGCTGCATTTGAGATGTCCTTGCGTTCATTTATATATTGATATAATTTCAGAAAGAGATCTGGGCTGGGAAGATAAATTTGAAGTATAAATCGTAACTAAAGCCTTAAGAAAAGAGGTCCAAGAATGAAGTCATTAGGAAAACTGATATTCCAAGGTAGAGTAGAGGCGGGTGAGCCTGCAAAGGAGACCAAGGAAAGAGGTCAGAGCAGTAGTGGGAAAGCCAGGAGGGTAGAAAAAAGGAGGGTTTCAAGGAGTGGATAGTTATGTTAAGTAAACCTGGGGAAGAGAAGTGTCTCCGGGCCTTAGCAACATTGAGGCCGCTGGGGAACTTGGCTAGAACGGTTTCATGAGAGTAAAGGGGGGCAGCACCACGACTGAAGAAGTGGAGACTCTGCAGACCGTAAGTGGAAAGGAAAGGTGGTGAATGAAAGGCAGTTGTGCTGTTGGTCTCTCTCTCTTTGGGGATGAGTGTGGAAAGAGACTCGAGTAGGTTTCAATATTGACAGGAAGGATCTGGTAAACACTCAGAAGCTGAAGACAGAGGGAGAGGGGGATAATCAGTAACAAGAGCTTTTCCTGAGAAGTTAGGGCAGGGAAAGGATTAGCTTTCGGTAAGAGGAAAGAGACTTCCCTGCCCAGCTATTAGGAGGGACAAGTTCAGTATGGGGGTGGATACAGGTAAGTTTGTAGTTTTCATCATGGGACGCTGAGGGCATTACCTACAGGTGGATTCTATTTTTGGGGGGAAGTCGAGGACAGGTGAGATGTTGATATCATTTATAATAGACTCAGTTTACTCTGTTGGGGCACAGTCTCCACTTGGGCTCAGCTGCCAGGTGCAGGGTCCGAGAAGCCTAGTGGCTGGGCTCACCTAAGTCTGTGGAATTTTTCCATATAGGTGGACGAAGGACTGAGCAACAAGGGCACGGAAGGTATCTGTAAGAGAGTAACTGAAACAAAGGACTGGAAATCTAAGCACTGGATGGAGGCAAGTAAGACAAGAAGGGAAGGAATTAATGGACTGGAAAGGGGAACAAAGAACACCTGCAGCTGAGTACCCAGAACTTTAAGGTCACCTAAAAGTGGTCGAAACACTACATACTAAGTCCATGAAAGCTAAGAGCCCAGTGTATTTAACACAAGAAGCAAAGGAGTTTTAGATACAACCCCTCTACTACCAGGGTACCAAGTGCCACCCTACTTGCTATCAAAGAGAACCAGAGGGACCTTTACATTGAAAAGGTAAGAAGGAGGTACTGAAATTCAAGGAATATCATTCCAAATCTGGATTTCCTGCCACTAAATCACTTCCAAGTGATGTGCTTGATTTTATTGATTTTGCTATAACTGATTCTATGTAAGTGTCCTATACACAAGTTTACCTGATTCTTTATCATCTAAACCTACCCTCTGGTGTGGTGGTTCTCAACAGATTTTGCCCCCTAAGGGAGAACTGGCAATGTCTGTAGATACTTTTGGCCATCACAACTGGGAGGAAGGGTGCACGAGCATCTGGTGGGTAGAGGCCGGATGCTATTCAACATCCCACAATGCACAGGACAGCTCCACCCCAACAAGGAATTATTCAGCCCCAAATGTCAATAGTGCTCAGGTTGAAAAACCCTGCTCCAGAACAAACATGCCTGCAAATGTACACTATTTACATCAGAGAGAGGAGGGCTCAACTTGGGATCCAAGTAACAAACTGTCTTCAAATTTTCTGTACCACAAATATACCAACAGCCTAAATAAAACTACCTTAGTTTTTAGAAAAACATCAATATATTAGTGCACAAAACCTTGTAGACTTAGATATGTAAGAAAGCATATGGATGCCCTCGATGACTTCTTCCTACCTCCTTCCTTCCTTGCCTGGTTTTTCCCATTCTCCTGTTTATTTCTCTCCAGAAGGAGCTCTGTTCTTCACCAATTCCTGCATACTGGAATATTAAGTTCCAAAGATAAATTAACTTTGATAAAATTCCTTTATCAGAAGTAAATGTGAAAGTCTGAAGAATTTAGTGAGCTGGCCTTTTGCCCATATACAGAAATGATTAAAGACTAGACTGCGATTAAATTCTGAGCAGAGTGACATAATTAGCAAATTTATGAATGGGTCTTCTTTTCACAGTTCTACTGTCAGGACTAATTACTTGTATTAATTAGAACTGTCAACACATGAATATGCTTGTTGAAGCCACTTCCTATGGTAAAGTACGAGACTGGTAAATATGAAGACACTTGGAAAGATGCAAAGACCTTCATTTATTAGCAACTCTAAATGATGCAGAAGCACTGACTGCACAATGAGCCCTGGGGATTGACTGTAAATGGATTCCTAGTTAATGAATTTGTTCTCCCTTGCTTAGGCGTTATTCTTGGTTTAGCGTTTGGACGAAATACTCAATGTATCACTACTTCAGAAGGACTGTAGCAAGAATAAGGAAAAAATTCTGCAAGTTACTGGAAAAGTAGAGTAGCAGGGATGGTTAAGTTGAGCAAGAGAGAGGTCCTGTCTCATCTTTGATTAGTCTGAGATCTAGTGTAAAACAAGTTTTGAGAACTGCTTAAGTGAAACGGGAAGGACAGCTGGGGGATTAAAAACTAGAGTTTGAGACCCAGTTTTAACTCTGTGTGACCTTGGGTAAGTGGACAAGTTACTAAGCCTCTCTGTGCCTTGGTTTGCTCATCTGAAAAATGGGGACAGCAACAGAACTTGTAGAGGGCTGTGGTGAGCCTTAAATGTCAACATATATAAAGGGCTTAGAGCGGTGCCCAGCACAAGCTACGTGCTGGCTGTTACTGTTTTCATAGTCATCACCTGGGATGGCAGCAGAAACGGAATTTCGAGCTCCAAGAACGAGATCCTTGGAGCAGGACGCAGTGCTTTGGAGTCAGATAGAGTCGAGGTATGAATCCAGGCCTGTTACATTTAATTTTTAAGCTTCAATTGTGCCCTGCCTCATGAGTCCTTGTAAAAAGTAAATTTTAAAAAATGCATGAAAGGCACTTGCTGTGCCTGGTACATAAAAGAGGCTTGCTAAATATTAGTGCTTAAGCATTCATTACCATTATTATCTTTTTGGAGGAATCTCTGAGACATGGAAATAAATGCCAAAAGAAAAATTTTAGTAAGTGACCTAAGATGAGTGGAGAGAGCACATGTGAAAGAGGAGAAAGGGAAATGAAGAGGATCTATTGAGGGCCTTCTCTGGGAAGGGTGCCCTCATCCCCTGTCTCAACCGGCCGTCACCACAGCCCCAAGAGGAGGGTTTAACTCCCCAGCCACAGAATCCCCATAAATCCCCTAATTACCTTGTTCACTGGTGAAGGAAAGACAGCTGGGATTCCAACTGGGGCCTGAATGGCTGCGAAGCCCACACTGTGTCAAGGCGTGAAAGCCAGGCTGCAAAGGGCTTCATCACAGACTGCGGGGGAAACAGACTCTAAGCTCTTCCTACTTTTTTTCCTTCCCCCCACCTTTATATATATTTAAAAACACAGTCATCAGATTCTTGATAGGCAAAGCTTGTTCCGGCTGGCTAGGTAAACTTTACCTGATAACTACCATAAAATAACTACTGTAAGACAATTTTAAATTAAGGCCGGTTAATCAGTTTTTTAATCCTGTTAAGTACCAACTTGGCAACGGTCCACAAAAGAGAGAATTATTCTCGTTTTCTGCTTTGTCTTCCAGAGACACACATTTCTGACAGTGTGGAGATGGCCCGACTCATGGAGGCTGCAGGGAGCATTTGGGGAATGAATGAGAAGCATCTCCTAGGGTCCCTCCCAATTCCAAAAGCTAATGCTTCTGCATGCAGCAAGATGTCGATGCTAAACTCGATTTCAATTAAAAACCCATTTCTGTACAAATGTTATAAAACTAGACTAATAAAATGTAAGTTGATGACTCCTAATTTTGTCTTAAAAATTATGTGATACCTTAAAGATCAATCTGGCCAAAACTCCATAGCATCAAATAATCAGTGCATAAAAAGAAAACCTAGTTGTAGGATGTTCTGGATCCATTCACAAGAAAGCTCGGTTAAATGCAAGACACTGGTAAATCTGCTAGAGTTCCCAATGTCATGTTAGACAGCAAGCTGCTCCCAGCTGCTCCCTGGAACCCCTTAAAACTTAAAGGGTAGAGCTTCCCCCCTCTACTCTAGTTGCTCACTAGATAGTTCTCGAAGCAAATGCAGGTACCAGAGGATCTTCCTGACAGGTAGTGGGGGATATGGAGTAGTAATGGTCAGAATGTGCATTATTACTCTTCGAATAACCCCGTTTATTTTTTTGATTGCATATTATGCTTAAAAATGAACTTGGGGGATATGGTAAAAACAGCTCTGAATGGGGAGTACGATGATGCAGATTCCAGCACTAGCTAAGGGACGGTTAAGCCGTGTGGCTCTAGCCGACACCCTCTCTTTCTAGGGTGCAGTGTGCCAAGGTGGTTAGGACCAGGCCGTTTCTAAGGCTCTTACAGAGTTATAATCTAAGAATAACTATATTAACAAGAACTCTGTGTAATTCTTATAAGCCCAAACCGCCGCCACAGGGCTCTTAGGCTAAGGTTTTTTGCACAGTTGCTGAAAGTGTCAACTGAGCTCTCCTCAAATGGCAGTTGTGCTGTCAGGTTATAATCGTCTGTAATTGGTGCTTTCGTGAATTGCAAACTTCCTAACCACTAGAAGGCCTGAAAAAGAATCTCATTCCTCTGTAATAAGAAACATGTTAAAAGGCAAAATAATTAAAAAAGAAAGCACACTATGAGCAATAATCATTAAAACTCACTGCTTGGGCTTCCCTGGTGGCGCAGTGGTTAAGAGTCCGCCTGCCGATGCAGGGGACACGGGTTCGTGCCCCGGTCCGGGAGGATCCCACGTGCCGCGGAGCGGCTGGGCCCGTGAGCCATGGCCGCTGAGCCTGCGCGTCCGGAGCCTGTGCTCCGCAACGGGAGAGGCCACAACAGTGAGAGGCCCGCGTACCGCAAAAAAACAAAAAAACTCACTGCTTTATGTTTATGTTAACATTCCTCATCAGTGAAGACAAGCCTAGAGAACAGAACAGACAAAAAACAAACATGCTAGTTTACGATTTCTTAATAGCATGATTTCCCATAAGAATTCGTATGTGAAATAAGTCGGTCTTAATGGTTTCTTTTCTTGTCATCGAAACATATTAGGAAACCATCCACAGCTTTTCCTTCCTTCTTTCCATCCATCCATCCCATTCCTAAATATTCCCAACCATCAGTCACCCTCCTCTTTGATTAGCAACAGTTTCACCCAGATAATAGCTATTTTTGTTGATGCCTTCCTAGTTCCCTCCCTCCACCTTTCCTCACTCTCTCTTCCACTTGACTAAGTTCCCTGAAGGCAGAGAACCTGGGTTTTGTTTATCTTCATTTGGGGGGAAAAGAGATGGCTACCTTGCTCATACGTGGCACAATATGGGTTTTCCAAATATTCTAAAAATTACATAGAAAGAATTTAGAAATCTAGGTAACTACTAAAATGGATGGTACTATCTGTACCTTCAATTAAAAAAAAAGTACCCATTGTCTTCTGCTAGAGCTTCTTAAGAGCGACGCAGAGAGAAATGGGAACCTCTCTCCGTGGCCCTCAAGGAACTCCCCACCTAAAGACCTAAAGCCCTGTGAGAATCACTAGGGGAACTTATGAAGCAGTCCGAATACCTGGGCCCACGCTGCCGTCTTTGTGCACCTGCCCTCACCCCTGCCTCACCGGCTGTATATTCTGATTTATTGGGGGCCAAGGCACTGACAATTTTTTTTTTTTTTTTTTGCCAGTTTGTTTGTTTTATTGACACCTGGATGCTCGGGCCTTGACCGCGTACTTCCGGAGCAGGTACAGCCGCTCATTCCACTGCTGACTCTTGGTCTTCATGTTCTCTTCGTGTTTGTTGAGCCGGCGGCGCGTGGCACGCGTTTTCTTGGGCCACAGATGCAGGGGCTTGTACTTTTTGCCCTAAGAATTTCCTGAGGTTCTGAGTCTGGTTAATGATGGTGAGTACACGGGTGATGGATTTGCAAACAACTCGGATCTTGGAAAGTTTGGAAGCCGCGCCGCCTGGTACTTTAGCCACGCGTAGCTAGGACAGCTCCACTTTCAGGTCCTCCAGCTGTTTCAGCAGCTCCTTCTTCTTGCCGCGAAGGTCTCGAGGCTTAATCTTGGCCATGACTGTAGAGTCAGCCTCCGCCGCCTTCTCGGAGGGAAAAAGCGGCACTGATAATTTTTTTTTTTTTTTTTTTTTTTTGCGGTACGCGGGCCTCTCACTGTTGTGGCCTCTCCCATTGCGGAGCACAGGCTCCGGACGCGCAGGCTCAGAGGCAATGGCTCACGGGCCCAGCCGCTCCGTGTAATGTGAGATCCTCCCGGACCGGGGCACGAACCCGCGTCCCCTGCATGGCAGGCGGACTCTCAACCACTGCGCCACCAGGGAAGCCCCGGCACTGATCATTTTTAAAAGCTCCCCAGGTGACTGTAACAGGAAGCCAGGATTGAGAACTACCAAAATCTCTGAAACCCCTCCTCTAGTTACTTACAAATGCTAGTTAACTGTATGCTTGGCCTTTCATTGTCTTACAGGCCTTGGATGCACCCACCATTCATTTACTGAAACACATTGCACATCAATGGTTATTCTTTTTTCAGAAATCAAGTGAGGTCACTGCTTGAATAAATTTAATTCTCCTTGATGTCAGTGAGCTGTAGCTTTCATAAATGTCCACTCTCCTTCATTTAATATGGTCTTTTCTAACTTTCCATTGAATTGGAGTATTCTATCTATAGTTAGCTGAGTGTTACCTGGGGGCTGGAAAACAGCTGGGGATAGATGGCGCATGGTCTGGAGCCCACTAATTCAAATTTAGGATCAATACCTCGATTGCCCCAAACTTAGATATGATACATTCATTCATATGAGAAAGGATGCTCACTCCCTAAATACTTGCCTGCCAATCTTTAAGATAATTAAGGTGATAGCAGATGTTATGACGTCATTACAGTCACTCAAGAGGAAAACCTGTGAATTCTGAGTTTAGAATAAATAGTATCCTGTCTGTATACCTCTCTCTTCTGTTTGCTGTAGGTGCAATATTTAATTTATTCCCATGTTAAATAGTTGTTTGTCTATTCATGTAACTAAAGCAGCAGAGAAAGACACCCTTTTTAGAAAACACAAGTCTGGGTGTTTTTAAGGACAGTGCTCATTTGATCTCATTATTCTGCCAGTTAGTTGACAGGAAAGAACATCCTAATTGCTCATTAACTCTGAAGATGGCCCCTTGTCTGGTGTCAAGGTCTAAGAGAGACAGGGTACACAGCAGCTGTACAACTGCTGCTGCTTTAGGGGGACAAAGCATTAGGTTTGCACAGTTAGAAAACAGCAGATGTTCTGATATGGGTTTCAAACAATCCCATCTATTATATGGTAGAATTTGGTGGTGAGTTATTTCCCCCTCAGGCTAATAAGATGAACCACATCGCTGATTAAATATTATCTTCTGGGGCCACAAGGTTGTTTTCACGGCTACCGCTTATGGAAATCATTCTTGGTTGGACTGGAGACTGCCCAAATGCCAACTGGTTTGAAAGGCTCTCCGAGAAAGGCATTCCTTGGTGCTCTTTCCCTCTACCCACCCTTGTGCCTACGTGCAAGACCATCTGGTCCTCTGATAATAAGCAAAAGCATAAGAGACACAAGCCATCAACACAGGCCTGCACGGTGACTGTTCGGATCCCTTCCTCAAAGCATACAAAGAAACCCGGAAGTCCAGGAAACAGCTATGCCCACTTAGCAAGAAGCACTGTCTCCATGCTTCCCTGATGTATAAAACATTAAGATGATAATAATTAGCAAATAATTAGGGCTGCCAAGGGGTAAGGAAACACTGTCACAATCTGACAAGTGTCATAGTGTCAAAAGCTCTGCTCAAAACGGGCCTCGCTGGCCCTGAGTTATCTAAGCCAGGGGCTCATTTCCCTCCTCACCCCCATGTGTCTCGCCAAAAAGCATCCTCTACACAATGGTAAACTACTTGGGGCTTAAAGTTTATCTTTGTTACAGCACAGTGTGCCAAAAGAAGGGCCCTTCTAACCCCCAGAGACGCAGCTTATTTAAAGTTATAATGAAGACAGCAGGTGTTCCATACAGATGTCTCTTCTTTCAGAAGACACCTATGCGAAACACTTTATTCTCCCTTAACCTCGGTGGGCTAAGCTGCGTTTTATTTCAGCATCACCCGAGCCAAAAGCAAACTGTTTCCCTTTAGTCTCACTGAGCTGAAAATTAAAAACGACTGGGTTTTGGGTTGTTTTGGCTGATTTGCAGGGAATCCTGAACGCGATGATTCCAGAGTCAACTCCCATTGCTTTCTGGTGACAATGAAAGCAATGCCAGACTCCCCAGAAAGTATGCCAGACTCCCCCTTTCCTTGGCGACCCAAACCTCTGAGTGTCAATCACCTCACACCTTCCAGTGAGACGAAGCAGAACAGATCTGAAAGGACTGCACTCGATAAAATGTATGCTGCTTTAACTTTTGTAAACTGTAAAGTCAAATGGAAATGCCTAGTGCCGTGGCACTAAAGCAGCCTCAAACTGAGACAGGATCCAGTGTGTTCTGGAACCCTTAAGAAAGAAATCATTGTAGCAGCCAGGGGAGAGCTAGCTACCAGTAATAGGAACCACTGGTCTTCTTGCCCAAAGTGTATGGATACCTTTAGCCTGGAAGGTTGGAGTAGAGATGAGAAGGGAAAGAAGGCAATGAGCAAACAGGAAAAGCGGAGACAGGACGTCGAGGTCCTAGTCTGGATGCTCGGCTCTACGCAATCTCCCTCAACACACTGACAGACCATAAGTAGCCCACAGAAGCTGGAGGTGAAGGTGTGAGGTGCAGTTTTCTCTGCATTTCTCTACAAAAAATGACCTGATGCCTTTAATGGGATGGCACTGTGGAGAATATCAAAGAAGAGGAAGGTCAGGGCTTCCCTGGTGGCGCAGTGGTTGAGAGTCCGCCTGCCGATGCAGGGGACACGGGTTCGTGCCCCGGTCCGGGAAGATCCCACATGCCGCGGAGCGGCTGGGCCCATGAGCCATGGCTGCTGAGCCTTCGCGTCCGGAGCCTGTGCTCCGCAACGGGAGAGGCCACAACAGTGAGAGGCCCGCGTACAGCATAAATAAAAAAAAAAAAAAAAAAGA